CTTGTTGCACACGACCCCACAGAGACCCAAGGGTGGCACGCACCACCTAGTAAATAGAGACCTAGAAAAGGGGGTACCCCCGGCCCTAGTGTTGGTTAGGGGAGGTGCCATATAGTGGCATGCCCCAAAGTTTAAAAAGGTGTTTAAGAAATCCTAATTGTAGTAGCCCATGGTTTTGTGACAGGGTAGTCCAATGGTGCTACCTATTTCAGTGCATTCAGTAGGACCTAAGGATCAAGTGTGCCATTCGGTTTGGTAATTGGATGTGGTGTGTGCTACGTCCTAAGGGGATAACCCTAGGCAAAGGTTCAGTACGTTTTCCTAGTTTGTTTATTAATTTTTTATTTCTATTCTTGGTTCATATTTGTTTTTGAATTCCTAATTGTAAGTTTAAATTCAGTTTTTTGGGATAAAGTTTTATTTTGACAGTAAGATTTAAAGATCCTAGATTGTAGTAGGTTTATACTTGCATTGAATTGTGGTAATTGTAAGTAGAGATTCCGGTTATATTTTTTTTTTGTTTTGATAATGTTGACCTTTAATAGAAGAAAAAAAAGATAAGTGCAAAATGCCTTGGCGATTCACAGAGTAGGATGCTCGAGGGAGATAAGAGCCAAAAAAGAAGAATCAAGTCCTCTTTTAGGAGGTTACAATGGAACAAAGCAACTTAATAAAACTGGTTGATCCGAAAGAAAAGACTAAGGACTGTCCAAAAAAGTCCAAAACCCCAAAACACGTCAGTTGTTCGCCATCTCTACTGCTTCTTTGGCGAGCGTATCAGCATCCTGGTTTCCTTCCCTCCATGTATGCATCCACACGACATACATATTCCTGCATAGATGATCAATCTCATCAAACACGTGTGCCAAGAACCATGGGGGGGGAGATAGAGAGATTTTTTGAGCCCAAGAAATGGTGTTCTTGGAGTCTCCCTCTACCACAATAGAATTTACGTGGAGAGGGTCTAGAAGCTTTAAGCCTTCCAACAGTGCTAGCACTTCAGCTTCCATGGAGCTGGCGTGGCCCATGAATTTGGAGACCGTGGCCAGAGCGAAACCCATGTGTTCTCTAAGGATGGCTCCTACTCCTGATGGGCCGTGGTTCCCAACGGAGCATCCATTGAAGTTCAGTTTGAGTTGTCCTAATGGTGGTGGTTTCCACCTAGTGGTCCTAGGTAGACGCACTTGATGGGTTTGAAGGATATTGCACCAATCCTGGCTAAAACCGAGGTTGGAATTCCATTGTAATAGCGGTGATTGGTGGCCCAAAAGATAATGGAGGACTTTAGTTTGTCGAATACCTTAGTCCAAGGGGAGTAATCCCCTCTGAACGTTCTGTTGTTTCGCTCGATCCATATGGCCTATTAGGTGGCTGCCACCGAGGATCTCCAAAGAAGTATCCCTGCCTTAGGCCACGGTTAAGGTTTAATGGCTGAGAGGATTGAGGTTACCTCTGCCGGTAAAACCCACTGAGCTTTGAAGAGTTTTAAAATTGTTCCCCATATGTTGTAGGCAAAAGGACGGTGCAGCAGTAGGTGGTTATTTGTTTCCTCAGCTGTTAGGCACATGACACATTGATTAGGGATTGGAATACCCCTTCTCTGCAATTGATCGACAGTGAGTACTCTTTGGGAGAGAGCCAACCATGTGAAAATTTTGATTTTTTGGGGGGGTGGAGTCCAAAGCTTGAGCGTTAGTAGCAGCAGGAGCTAAGGGGAGTGTTGGAGGCGGAGTAAGGCTTTTATAGAAGGGTGACACTGTGAAGAGTCCAGAGGGTGCAGGTGTCCAAATGATTCTATCTGGGCCTGTGGGTGCTAAGAAGGTGGTTTGGAGTTCTATTGCTAAAGTTGAGAAGCTCGCAATCTCATGGTTGTTGAGAGCCCTCCTAAAGACTGGATTCCCCGAGCGAGTGGACCCTGCCCATAACATTTCGTCTGCTATGGTGGCCCTTGATTTCTGGCTAGAGAGTAGAGTTCGGGAATCCGTCCCTAAGAGGTGTGTTACCCAGTGTTTGAAAAAGTGCCAGGCGGAACCAAGGCGGTCAGGGGGGTCCAGGCCGCCCAAAACCTGGGCGGCCTAGTAAAAAACAAAATTTGTTTTGGGGTTTTCTCTATCTAAAATAGCCTCTAATAGGTTTTAGGTTTCAAATGAACCTAAAACCCACAATTTTTCCCTTTAGTAGTAAAAAAATGACCCAAAAACATCCTTAAGGAGCCGCATTTTCTCCCCTGGGCGAGACGCAGGCCCTGGGGGGCTGCCCGGGGGGGCGCCTAGGCGGGTTCAGGTGGGCGCCCAAGGATATCCGCCTAGTTTGGCCGCCTAGGCCTGGGCGATGCGCTCAGGCCTTTTGGACTGCCTAGGCGGCCGCCCAGGGGTTCAGGCGGGCGCCCAAGGATATCCTCCTAGTTTTGCCGTCTAGGTCTAGGCGATGTGCTCAGGCCTTTTGGACTGCCTAGGCGGCCGCCCAGGTGCTGGGCGGTCCACTTTTTAAAACAATGGTGTGACCTAACCATAGGTCATGCAAAAAAAGGATGCAGTTCCCCGATCTCGGGTGGAATCTGATTCTAGATTTGAAGGCATGGAAAGCATAACATATTGACCTCCAATTGCCTGAGGATCTTTGATTACTCCTGCAGTTCGGCAGCCACGGTGTATTAGAGAGGTGTTACTTGTGTTTGAGTATGTCAATCCACAACTGGTCTCTGAGGTTCGTTAAGTGCAAGCACCATTTACCCAGTAGAGCCAAATTCTGAGTTCTAAGATTTTTGATCCCCAGTCCTCCCCTTATGCGTGGACTGGCATAGCTTATCCCAAGCAAGAAGATGGAATTTGTTATTGGTTCCATCTCTGCTTCAGAAAAACCTTCTCATTAAGAGTTTGATTCTGGAACTGACAGCCACAGGCATGTGGAAGATGGACATTTGGTAGACCGGGATATTGGCCAGAGTGGCTTTGATCGGTGGTAGCCTACCTCCCATGCATACTGGAAATGAGATACTTTGGGAGCCCGAGGTCCGACTGGGAATCCATGCAAGCGTCCAGCCGCATACATTCTGGAAATAGACCTACTAAAGACCTCAACTGCTGTAGCAAAAAGAAAGGGAGATAGGGGATCTCCCTTTCTGAGGCCTCTTGTTAAAGGGAAGAAACCCTTGGGTCTGCTGTTTATGACGATAGAGAAGTGTGGGTGCGAGTAGTACGCTTTCATCCATGTTCTCCATTTAATCCCGAAACCCATCCTGGCCTGAGTTTCATCTAGGATGGCCCAGTCTACGTGATCATAAGCCTTCTCCCAATCCAGCTTGATCACGATACCTGGGACATTGGCCAGATTTCTAGAGTGTATGCACTCGTGGGCAACTATGGCCCCATCAAGAATTTGGCGATCTTTAATGAAGGCGCTTTGTGAGGTATAGATGACAAGAGGGAGAACCTCTTTGAGACGTGAGGCGAGGACTTTGGCTAGGATATTGTAGGTTGTAGGTAGAGTTTACCAAGCTTATAGGGCGGAAGTCTTTTAGTTGGGTAGCCCCTTCAATCTTGGGAATAAGAGTGAGGAAGGTGGCGTTCAGTGCCCTGTTGATAATACCCCTATTGAAAAATTCATCAACCATTTTCAGAAAGTCATCTCTAAAAGATTCCCAAAAGAGTTTGAAGGGTGCAATGGGGTATCTGTCGGGTCTAGGGGCCCTGTCTGAGTCTAGGTTTGAAATGGCAGCTAAAATTTCAGTTTCAGAGAAGGGTCTTTCTAACTAGGTAGCTTTGTCAGGGGCTAGAGCGAGGAACTCTAGGTCCCCCATGGGGGTCGAGAATGGGGGGGCAGTGAGTAGGTTCTGGAAATAGCCAAGGATGGCTTGCTCTATGTCTAGGGGTTGGTCCAATAGGTTCTCTCCTACCAGTAGGTGTGTGATGGTACTGTCTCTGCACCTGCAATTGGCCGTCTTATGGAAAAATCCAGTGTTGAGGTCCCCGGCCTTTAACCACTTGATTCTGGACCTTTGGTACCAAAATATTTCCTCTTTCTTGACGATGGCTTGGTATTGTAGCTTAAGGTCTTCTTTGTGAGAGAAGCCGAAAGTGGTTTGGACTCTTCAAGCGAGTCAAGGGTCTTAATGGCAAGAAGTGTAGAGGTTTTTTGTGGCCCTATGAACCCTGGTAGACCCCTGCTCCAAGATTTAAGGTGAGCGTTCAATAATTGCAGAAAAGAGAAAAGTTTGAATTTATATTTTGGAGTTCTATATAACCACACCTTTCACCTCATAGATAACATTCACCTTATGCTAGTCATACTTGTCTTAGCATATGTATGCTAAATAGGCAGACAATGAATTTTGGGTGGTGCCATGGATTTGAATTCTGAACAGTGCACATCACTATACATCGCTTATTTTCAGTGTGATGAATTCTATACGGTTTCCCTTGGAGTAGGTGGTCAGATTTTGTACCATACTTGGGGCTGTGCAATGTTTTTTTGGATTATTTTGGGTTTTGGGTCCTATATTGGGTGCTTCAAGTTGAGACATTGTTTATTGTATTTTCCTTAATGGAAAGATTGTACACTTTGACCCAGTCTTTTTAAACTAATATTGGTATATTTACCATTAGTTTGTTAAAATGCTCTCTAATTTGCTATTTTCAGGTCGAACATTTTTATTACTCTGTCTCTACATATTTAGATTCAAATGACTCAATCAGACCTACTAATTACTTCATTTTACGGGCTCAATTTCCGGGACTACTTGAACTGGATGCTGTGGGCTGGCAATTCTTGCCTGGGATAGAAATCCAATCTTTCAATAAAATGCCACTAATGTTTGATTTTAGTATCTGATTATTTTTATAACCTTTGATGCGTGATTTATGTTTGTCGAGCATTGAGCTTATCATGTACATTTGAGTTGCAATTAATGTGTCACTAGAAAACAGTTTCGTGTGCTAACTAGTTATAGAGATTAGTGGCCTAATAGGTCATTGGAATATAATGATTGTCTTATTTTGCAGGCTGTGATATCTGATGAAGTGAATGAGGACGGTAACTTCTCTCACCTTATTAAGGCTCATCAGGTACATGCTTCTAATTTTTCATGTATGAAGTCTTACTGATAAGTTTGCTTCTTTACAGATCTTGGATATCAGTTTAGATCTTTTTTTATCCCTGCAGGAGTCAGCTACTCGACTCCCACCACTTGAAGAAGTTCGTACACTATTTGATCGCAGCACCCGAGGCATGCTCTCTACATTTTCTCAGGTGTTTTGTTTTGAAACCTGTATGTAATTCTTTTTTTGTGCTAAAGTAGGTAAGAGGGCAATGGTTGATATTCACTGACTTGAGCTGCACTTTCTGTTCACTAAATGAACATAAAACATCAAAGATGTCTTGTGTTTAATGTAGCATTAACTTTATAATGGATGGAAAATATTGAATGAGTTCTTGTCTTTCTGTTGCACCATAATGAGTTAAATCTTTGAAAATGTAAATGATTTGGAAATTCAAAGTTACAAGGTCTTGATAGAATTTGGTCTTGTGAGATCATGGAATAGTCTTTAGTTTTCCTGTGGTTCTCATAAACTGGCATTTTTCAATGGTGATCGATTCTTTAGTGGACATGAGTTTGTTAACTTGCTGTTTCATGGGGTCTGGGATGTGAAAATTTCTTACTTTGTCCAATAACCATGTTGATTTCATGATGCCGTTGTTCATTCATAATTTTTTCTTTTTAATTCTTAAAGAAAAAAGGTTCAAAATCATACTCTTAATTTCTTCAATTTGGCACATTGTGTTTATGGGAAATGATGCATAGATACTTCTGTGGATGGACGGACATGGCTACAAATGTCAGTTTTGCCATTTATGTGTGATTTTGAAGTATCAGTTATGACTGTGGTACCCATTTTGAAGTATCCCTGCATTATAGTATCTCGTCGCTGGTTTTGTTTCTAAAGAATTTTGAATACGAGTGATTCACCAGTTACAACAGAGACCCCTCCCAACCCACCAAAAAAACAAATAATATATGTACAAAAACTAACGGCACATTCAGATAATGCAGATAAACATGAGGATTTTCTACTTGGTTATGTGTTACTAAATGAGTTCAAGTCAATTCTTCTGGGGGTTAATTTTTAGGACAACCATCAGAAATATCCATTTTTTTAAACTTTTTGTGAAACATACCCACTTTAATGAAAATCTACGTCCATGCCCATTTTCTGACATTTTATAATATATTACCAAAAATGCCCTTCACAGTTCTATTAGAAGTGTAATGGTCAAGGGCCCTTGCACAGGGCACGCTCAAAGGACCATGACGATACATTGAGAATGAGACTCAGCTTCCAATGAAGCCCGCGGCCTGTGTAATGAGCATGATGAGTGGTTTTGAGCAATGGGGTTTTGGCTGATAAGAGGCCTTCACACTTTTCCCAAGCTTGGCCGCCCAAGTGGTGGAATGGTGGTTTCGGTGAGTTTCCATCGGGTTGGAGAGAGGGGAGGAAGGTGATTTATGAGGAAAAGGAGGACGGCCAGATAGAGAAGGGAGATGAGGAGCTTGGCTATGGAGGAGTGGAACATGTACCTGAATGGTGAGTGTGGTGATTTCTCCCTCTTGAGTTTGCCTGTTGTGGAGGTAATGCTGTCCATAGCTACTGTTGGGTTTTTTAGGGGCCATCGTCTCCCTCTAGAAATGTGGGTCTTGGCTATGACATTGATGGGGTTGATGGGTTTTCTTGCTAGGTTATCTCACTCTCAAGAAATGGGGTTTTGGGGAGGGCAGAGAAGGGGCTTGCTTGATGGGTTTTTCTTGTACACTGTCCTCTATAAAATTTGGCTTCAGTTAGGGCAAAGAGATGGTTTAGGGTTGGTCTCTGAAAAGTGGTAGGTTCATTTCTCTCTAGACCAAGGCTTGCATCTATGACAAACAAAGGATAAAGGATTTCGGGCTCCTCTGTTCTTTGCTTCCCTCTCCAGAAACAGGCTTTCAACTAGGTTACCAAGAGGCTTTTGTGGCTCTTCTTGTTGCTTTATTTTTCTCTCTAGAATGTTGGGCTCTTTGCATTCAGGGTCACTTGCTTTCTGGTATAAGAATGTGGGTCTCAACTGGGTGAAAAGGGCCTTTTTCTCAGAATGCAGACTTGGGTATCTCTGATAATGGCTAAGGTCAAATCTGTAAGAAACAAGCATCATGGCTTTTACTTACTCTTCTACAAATGGGTTTTCCCCATCATAACAGATGCTTCGTGTTTTGTGTTCTTTTTGGGTTTTTCTTTGCGGCTTTCTGGCTATGGAGGTGGACCAGAGATAGAAATAGAAAATTGAGGCGAATGTTTTCGGAGGGTGAAAGAGGGTGTGTCATGGTTCTAATAGAACTGTGATACTTGAAGTGCATATTTTTTTGGGGAAAGGTTTCTATACTTCCCCTACAACATAGAAGATATATGCTTCCCCTACTATCCAGCCGTCCAATTTTGATCAAGAGAGCCACTCACCGTTTGATCTTAGATCCGACGTCTCAAAGTATTTTATTTTTATTTTATTTTTATACAAATTGTATGAATATGAAATTTGGTATGTGCCATCTTCTCATTGGGGCGCACATATAAAAAATATTAAAAATAAATTTTTGATAAAATATAATGACCAAAATACCCTTTGAAACTTTCAGGGGTATTTTGGTCATTTTATTTTATTAGAAATATTTTTTTTATATTTTTCGCTGGTGCAAGTTTAATAGAGGATTGGACATACAAAATTTGGTGTTAAAATAGTTTATAGAAAAAAAATAAAAAATAAAATAGTATAGAGACGTGACATTGTGATTGGGACAATCTTATCCCTCCATTTAGAATGGACGGCTAGATAAGGGGAAGAATATAAGTTTTATGCTGTAGGGGAAGCATAGAAAGCTTGCCTTTTTTTTGTGGGGGCGGGGGCAATAGAAGTGGTTATAGACATAGTTTCATGATTTTTGAAAAAGAGGATTTTTTGGTAATTGCCCTAATTTTTATAGAAAATAAAAAAGATATTCCCGGTTATGGCTTAGGACGATATGGTCCTTGCTGAAAAATAAAATGATCATTAAGAAAAGTTTGGATCTCATAAGGGATTATATTCCCCACTAAATTAATGGGCAAAACTGTTAGTGTTTTATTGTTCTAAATGATGTTTATGAAATTCTTATGATGCCAAAGATTTAGATGTTAATGCATAAAAAAGGATCCTCCCATATTATGAGGAACTTTCACATAAAAGGAATAATATATGAACCAAAAGATGCAAATCAGATCTAGGGCCCAAATTCAGAGCATTAACATCTTCAAACAATTGTATAGCTTTATTAATTGATGAATCAAATGTTCATGGGGATTACAGAGCTTCACTTCCAATGTTCATGGGGATTTGTTGGAAGAATTGCACTGAGAATTCATCAAGTTTATCCATGAGGATGGCCAATTTTTTTTTTTCCTCTCTGCAATAAATAATACAAAGGGAAGTAACTGTTTCTTTTAGTAAAAACGCACAAGGAAAATATTGAGGAATATGATCCACATTTCCTCCCAGTTTTTCTGTACTCATAATTCTTGCAGCTCCCTTTCCCTCACCTGATTTACAGTAGGGAATATTTAATCACCTCAACCAACATCTCTTGATTCATTTATCTCTATCAGAACTCATGTACATCCAAATTTTCTAGACGGTGATCATGAAGCTTGACTGCCAAAGAAACTTCCTACCATCTTTTCCTGCCCAACACTTGCACTAAACCAAGGAAGGAATCATTCGTAGCCCATGCAGTGTCAAGTACTGGCAATATACCTCTGTGTATAACTACATTGAACTCAGAGATGGTCTATTGTCTCTTCCTTATCCTTGCATTGAAAACTCAAGTATGCTAATTAACACCCTCTATGCTGAAGATGTTCATTTATAATGCTAATTAACACCTCTATGCTGAAGATGTTCATTTATAATTCTTTGTGGCAGAACTATGAAAAAACTTGCAACTTCCAAGGGACATGTTTTGGAAATTTGCACAACACACGGCAGACTACAATACTGTCTCCGGACGATCCTGGTTTAGATATTTAGGGTTTTGAAATTTCGAATGTGAAATCAAGCAAAAATGCCCTATAAATTTTCGTAGTATAAAACCTCTTGTTGTATTGACTTTTGAAATTCTCTCTCCTGTAATAATCAGATTATTAGCACGTAATAATTTGTTTGTTGAATTGTTGTATGGAAAGTTGTAGTTTCACATTTGTTCCAAAGCTGTGTCTGATGGTTCCAGTTGACATAATTTATGTCCAACTCTAGCTAAAGTTATTCAGTTCTTGTTGTGATACAATGTGTACATCATTCTTTAAATATGTATTGGCATGCTTCCTTTACATCATACATTTGCTAATTGCCTTCGCAGAAGCATGTGGGCTATCCATCTGGATCAATGGTTGATTTTGCTTGTGATAGTGATGGCGCTCCAATATTAGCAATCAGCAGCTTGGCAGTCCATACAAAGGTGTAATTTAGATGCAGTTTCTTAAATTCTTTTCTGAGAATTAGCAACTTGTAATAAGAGATCTAGTATGTGATCCTCATGGCTTTGCTCAAATGTGGTACTTTATATCTTTTTTGAATATTAGTCTAATATTCCATGCATTTTGGAGAAATTCAAAGTTGTCTGAAGACTTGCTTATTTCCAGGACTTGTTAGCCAATCCAAAGTGCTCATTACTTGTTGCAAAGGACCCTGAAGATAGGACTGATTTAGTAATTACATTGCATGGCGATGCTATTTCTGTAAGTTCGTGATCCTTTATTTCTTTATGGTTGTTTCGTTTTAATACTAAACATGAAATTGGTACAATTGTTGTCTAAATCGGACTGATTGGTCGGTTTGAGCTGGGAACTTGTCAATTGCTGCCTTGGCCGATCCTGTCAGATCCCTTAATCTGGCTTGTCTGTCAAACCGTTCATGAATGGACGGGCCGGTCCTATGTTTGGATCAGTCGATCTGCTGGTGCAGGACCAAACTGGCTGGTCTTGATAAGAATAGAAAAGGTCAATTTTGACCTTTGTATTTTGATATTCTAAATAAAATCCCTTTATTTTTTTCCATACTTTTTGTTTGTATTAGGGTTTTAGTAAAATGAGATGTTAAGGTGGGTTTTTAGGTATAGAAAACACTTTTAGAGAGAGAGAAAAGATTTGGCAACTCTCTCTCTCTCAATCGAGGAAACCCAAAGTTTACGGCAAACTTTAGGCAACTTCCCCTATCAAAATCTGGCCATCCATAGTATTCAAACCCCAAGTAAGTGCCTGTGATCTGTTCTTAGTTTTATTTGTTTTGGATTTTAAAAGAAAGCAAAAATGTTGAAAAATATTTTTGGTTATTTAAATTTTAATGCTCTTGTTTTGTGAATTTTAGGTTTTTTTGCATTTTCTCCTCTTTTGCGCATTTCTCTTTTTTTTTTTTTTTTTTGCCTTTTTGATTATTAAGGGCTCCCGCAAATTTTGTTTTGTAAAAGAACTTAAAAACTCAAAGTGGAATGAAAATTTGTTTTTGTATTTTTAGTTTCGATTTTTGAATGGATTTTACAATATGTAAAAGCCCTTAAGAATGAAAAATTGAAAGTTGTGTTTTTTTTTTCGCTTTTGTGCTTTACCTTTTCCTTCTTTTTTTTTTTTTTTTTTTTTGCATTTTCAGTTTTTCAGGCGTCTTAACGTTTTTTATTTTGTAAAATCACTTTGAAACTGACAATGAAAAGAATGAAAAATTTGTTTGTGCATTTTTATTCAGTTTTACTTTTTTTAAGGGCTTTTACAATTTTCCTTTTTTTTTTTTGGATTTTTTCATTTATTTTTTATAGTTTTTTAAATTAGTTGACCTATCATGTTGAACCAGTCTGGACCAGCTGGTCGGACCTGATCGGTGCCTTACTAGTTCAGTCACTGGTCCCATCCTGGCAACATTGATTGGTAATTTTTTAATTATTGTAGTGAGTAATATCTTTCTTGGATCTCTGCTTTATGAATCAGTCATTAATCATAATAATGTTATTTGACTTGCTACCTTTACATTTTCTATAATATCTTTTACCATTTTATAATATTTTTTTTTCTGATCACTGATATTGCGAATGCATGGTTAGCTGTGCAACTGTGGGTTAGAATTCTTCTTCTTCTTCTTTTCAAAACCTAGGGTTGCAAATCTGACATATTCATCTGATCTGATACTTTACAGTCATCTGGTGGAATTACAATGATGAGATGTCAATACAGCTAAATGCTTCTAGATATCGAAATCAAGCAACAAAAAACCAACTTCTCCAAAAGAAGGCTTGCAAAAATTATGTTCAATCCCAATGGTAGCTTGTGTATAATGATATTTCTTGCTCTTGCAGTAGCATTGTGAATTTTCTAAGGGTATTAAACCTCTATGAGTTGAATTAGGACTTAAACCAAGTTTGACATGATATCCTGCAGGAGTGTAATGTAACTTGTTGAAGTCCATTATTTTAATATATTTTTAAAAAGACTTCGCCAAGTCTCGTTGAGTCAACTCAGGTCGGGGAACTACCGAGTTCTGCTCTGAGTCTATGCTTTCAAACCTTGGATTTTATTAAGTTAGAGTCAATATTGCGATTTTCTATTAACTTGGTATGTTTTAACTTTTAAGAGTATTTTGGTTGACCTTATCTATATATCCAGTACTTCTTCTTGATGCATGGATTATGACTGACCTTGGAGAATATAGAAAGATTCTGTTTAAGAGCTGAAAGAACTAGTGCAAAAGCTTCGGAAAGTAGTGTCTCTAGGCCCTTACAGTTGTAATAAGAAACTTGATATGCCATGCAAGCCTGAAAGAGGCACTTGAGCGTGCACGGTGCTAAATAGGGCTGCAGTCATGGCCTTTGGCAGTTCTGTACGCTTGACACTTTCCATTGAGGAGTGTCAAAGAACTGAGCCTAGCCAAGATTGGGCACGTTCAAGCATGGCTTGCACTAGAGGGCAAGCTTCAGCTAGGCTTGAGATTGACTCGAGCTTGGGCCAAACGGCTTGAGCTTGGCTTGATTAACGGAAGGTGAGCTCAGCCTGGGCTTGGCTTGTTTACTTAAACAAGCCCATAAACAAGCAAAGGCAAGCAATAAAAAACTAAGCACGAGCCTTATAAGAAGGCAATATATAATAGAACACCTATATTATATAATATGAGAGCTTGAATGTCCTGTTTGATATGAAGTCAAAATAATATCTGTGGTATAGTTTTCGTATTATATATAAGAATAATAAACTAAACAAGCTTTGGCCGAGCTTGTCTCAGCTTGAGGTTGGCTTGTTTGATAAATGAGCTAGAGGGCTCAGCTTGGCTTAGCTTGTCAACTATTCACGCTTGGCTCATCACAACCCTAGCCAAGCCTGTTTGTGAGCTTGTTTGGCTTGTTTGACACCCCTATTTCCTTTAAATATGTGAATTTATTGAGGTGGCTATTAGTTTCATGTTTGCATCACTTTTCTCTTTGAGTATTGGAGACAAAAACATAACTCAGTGCCAGAATAAGAACTTAGAGTCAGCATCGAGATTTCATAGTAAGATATTGTAGTAGACCTATGCAAGTTCCTTAACAACACTTCTTTTTCTGTCTTTTCAGAGTATTGCGGTCATTGTCATGTGTGCATACCTATTCAGTCATGTACATGCCATTCCATTGATAGTTCCTTGTCTTTTAGTTAGTTTAGTGGCTATCGTTCTAGTGGTTATGAATTTCCTATATCTAGGCTTCTTCCTTGAAGGCTTTCTAGTACGAAATACAAACTGTTAATAGTATATTTGCATCAAAGGATTTTCAAAATTTTTAAACTTATCTACCTTGAATACCATCATGCACACAACAGATTAGTTAAATTAAACAAATGGGCCCATATTGAGTTACTAAGTAAACCTAACTTGGGATATGAAACATCATGAGATGATTGCTACTTAATAATTTGAAATGATTCCTCCATCGTAGCTGTTTGCATGATAAATTGTATATTAGGGAAATTCATATTATTTTTTGCAGTTCAATGAGATAAAAAACATTCTGGAACAAGTCAATTACCCTGAAAGATACTTCACATCTTTTTCAAGGGGTATTTATGTTTGGCTCTATTCAATTTTATGGATGTTGTTTTTTTTTCTGAAGAAGTTAACTGTTCTGTTCTATTGAGGGTAGAGAAGTACATATGTATAAATAAATAGGCATCCCACATACTGGGAGCTCTATATACAAAAAAGCTCCCACAGGATAGGAGCACTATACAGAGGTATAAAGGCTACCCCTGAAAGGGGAAGCCCTGTACAAAAAACTATCAAGTTCCAAAAAACTGCCATAGTAAAAGCTATAAAGACGGGAGAGTTATGTAGAGCTAATAAGGTGGCGTCCTTAGCAAGAGAGTCAGCTTGTTGGTTGGCCTCCCAACAGATATGCTTCCAAGAGATGTCCATGTCCCTGCATATATGAGTGATTTCAAAGACCAAGGGTGAGGAGAGAAACTGGGAACCCATCATATGACGTTCTTGGAGTTGCCCTCAACTACTAGCGATTGGCTCCACTGTGGGTTAAACAGTCTGAAACCCTCAAGAAAAGCGAGGGCCTCTGCCGTATGGGAGTTAGAGTGTCCAATATTCTTGGAGAATGAGGCAAGGATGTGACCATTGTGGTCCCTGAAAAGTCCACCAATCGTAGAGGGACAACGGTTATTAGGGAGCAACCATCAAAATTCAATTTGGTGACTGGTCTGCCCTGGGATTGGTGGCCTCCAATGGGAGGCACGAGGAATATGAGCCTGTGTTGAATGAATTATGGTTTCCCAATCCTGGAAGAAGGCGGAATGAGGAAGGCCTTTGAAGTGTTTATGGTTTGTCACCCAGAATACGACCATGGACTTGATCTTGTCAAATAGAGAAGCCGGCAAGGATCTTTCTCGTCGAAAGATCCTACTGTTCCTCTCGGTCCATATGACCCAAAGTGCAGCAGCCACTAATGCCTTCCACAGGAGAATACCTGCTTTGGGCCAGGGCAAATGTGGTGGGAGGTAAAGAGGAGAGGAGCTGACTGGGTGGTAGGCCATTGCCACTTGAAAAGTTGGAGGAGAGCCCCCCAATATTTCCTATGAATTTTATGGATGATGTTTGTGATCCAAGATTTGGTTTTGCCAAGTGGGACCCATTTACCACGTCAAAAGTGTAAACACCATATCAAATAAAAAGTAAAGAGATAATTTTGTTCACATTAATATCATTTTAGTTTTAAAAGATTCACTCAGGCATTTGGACAAACTATTTTTACTACTATCACATTATTTGGGATTCAATGAGTATGTTTTTTTCTTCTCCTTTTAGATTTTTGGAATGTGGGTCTTACTTATCTGGTGTTATGTTACAGTATGACATTGTCTTGTTATATAATGGTTAATATTTTTGGTATGCATTACTTTTAGGTTTCTGAAGATAAAAGAGAGCTTGTTCGTGCTGCATATTTGAAAACGCATCCTGGAGCCTTCTGGGTAATTTTAAGTATTGTTTCCGGAGTGCTTGTATTGTATGCATCTTGTTTAGCGATTGATGTGTCTCAGATAACTCACTGAAAGAAACCAGAAAAAAATGATAGGTTGACTTTGGGGACTTCCAATTTATTCGAATTGAACCAAAAGTTGTACGCTATGTTTCTGGGGTTGCAACAGCTTTATTAGGGTCAGGAGGTAGGGTTCTGGATCTTGGATTTTATGAAATTTATTTTTGACATTAACAGTTATATTTCGGTTATAGTTCAGGATGACTTTTCACTAAATGGTTAGGACTTAAGATCATGTTGAAGTTTTTGATGTTTACCAGTTTTCCAATAAATGTGTTATTTCTGTCGTCCCAGAATTTAGTGGAGAGCAATTCAAATCAGCAACTGTTGACCCAATATCTCAGTTTGCGGCACCTGTTACTGTATGTTACTTACTTTATTTCTCTTTATGTATTTGCTATTTTTTGAATATTGATTTTTATCATTTGGTGTTTGTTCCTGCTAACTCTTGATCAATCTGCAAAGTCCCACATGAATAGGGACCACTCAGAAGATACCAAAGCAATTGTACAGTACTCGACATCAGTCTCCGTAAGTGATTATACTTTTATAAGCATCAACACTGATTTTAACATTTGGAAAAATTGAATCGTGCATGTTGTAATATGTATCTGGAAATTCATGAAAGTGATCCTGTATCAGTTTTTGATCTCATATTCAAAGTTTAATAGTAAAACTGATGAGAAGTTATTTGGTTTCCTTTCAAAAAGGTGACTCCAATTTTTTTGCTCTTTGTACGGCCATCTATGTTAATAATGATCAAACTCCCCTTATTCCTGTTGTTCACGATTGAACTTACTACTGGAATCGGTTGTTAGAAATGAAGGTATCATTAAGAGACCCGCAATTACTTTTCCAGGGAAGTTTGTTAAAGGAATTTTTCATGACATTTACATCTTAACTCTTTTGATCATGCATGTGAGAGTATACATGGCATTTCAATTTTGTAGACAATAGTGTTTTCTCCTTGGTTTTGATAGTTTAAGGTTCAAATGACTGCAATTCGTATGGATGACTGACATGTAGCAAGGTGAAGTATGGTATAGTCCATCTGACTGTGGAACACCATAGTCCATTGTGGGGGATGGCTGTCTGATGAAGACAGTTACAGAAATAGAGAGGGTCCCACCATAACAGACGTGAACATAATGGTGGGTCCCATTCTCTCCACATCACTTCATTGGACCATCATGACCATCACGGACTGCAGTTTCTATACTCCATTGGACTACAATAGACCTTCCTCTTTAGTAGTTGAACTTTTATTGAATAGATACCCTCTGGATTCAGTATGTATTTGTGCATGTTTCTTGAATGATTACACATGTATGTGGCTCTTAATTTTACCTGTAGATTTGTGTGATTCCTAATGTTGGGATATTTTCAGGTAGATTTTGCTCAGATGCTGGATTTGGATAGTTTTGGCTTCAATGTAAAGGTACTTTTAATTTCATTGCAAAATTTGCTATTTGATTTCAGTTTTCTTCCTTTCAGGCTTCTCGTTGCGCGAGTTTCTTCTATCTTATTTTAGGGGAATCTATTTATGTGGTCTGAAGCAGCATTATTGGCTTGCATCAAGTTTGAGCATGCATGTGCATCACTGGACATGTGCGTATGAGTGCACGTGTCCAGGGTGCATGTGTTCATATAGGAATAATATTGTGATGAGGTCTTATTTGTTTCTTTTCATGTTGATTCTCTAGGCTGGTTATCAAGGGAAGACATTTAAACTTCGCATACCATTTCCTAGACGTGCAGAGGATAGGAAGTAAGTATTTTTAAAACTCCTGAAATTTTTAATTAGAAGCATGAGGCAGCCCATATGAAGGAAAACAAAAACATTCGAGTGGACATACTGCATCTGATTTTATCAGAAGTATTTATATAGTTAAGGCACCATGAGAATGACGCATGCATCTATGGGGGAAGAGTGAATTACTTACGGACACCAAAAGAAAAAAACAAAAAAAAACGAAATGAGTCAATTTTGGGTTAAAATTACGCTGAAGGTTGGTCAACCTAAGATTTTTTATTTTTTTTAAAATTGCCCTTGAGTCTGAGGATACCATCCTCAGACTGCCTTTTAAATTTTTTTTTTTAGTTTTTTTGATAATAGGGATGTGCCCTAATGTTTGGGGCAATGCCCAGTCGGTTCGATGTTAGCATCATCGGACCGCCTTTTGTGGTGCTCTTCAAAGCGGTCTGAGTTGCCCATTCTCAGAACGCCTTCTCTGGTGCTCTTCAGGGCAGTCTGAGGTTGGCATCCTCAGACCGCATTAGCTCATTTGTTTGCTGAGAAATAAGGTGGTTCGAGGATGCCAACCTCGGGCTGCCTTTTGGACTGAGCACTGCCCCTCACACTAGGGCACCGCCCTACCAACGAAAAACCTAAAAAATAATAATTTAAAAGCGGTTCGAGTATGGCATCGTTGGACTGATGGGCAAGTTTGGAAAAGGGTTGACCGACCTACATAATCTTCACCCAAAATTGACCAACTCGTAATTTCCTTCTTTTTTTTTTTGTGTTCGTACGTAAATTACTCATGGGGGAATCTTTAGCATTATAGATTGTGTCCGATTTAATCAGGCCCATGCTTCTCTATAACAGATACCTTCTAGGATTTATTTATTTTCTAAATGATATAATTGTGACATTGAATTAAGGAAAAAGTTTATATAAGGATGCAACCTTATAATGTAGAACTACGGATGCACCTCAAAATCCATCGGAAAAGGTAGTTTTAATGTTGAAAAACTCATCGATATCGAGATGTATGACCATGAAAAATAAAAGAAGATTTTAAGTCTCAGAAATAGTGCATATTACAACATATTATCTACACCGTTCATTTTCAAGATTTTCTTATGTTTATAGATCTACTTGATTTTAACCATTTTAGAAATTTAAAATTTTATAATTAGATATAAAAATAGATTTTGAGATAATCCTAAAAACATTTTATATCAAAATTATATACCATGCTAAAATTTTAAGGTGCACCTTACCTCTACAGCTACGGATGCATCCATATGCCAACTGCACCCCTAAAATGTCCTGAAACACCCAAAAGATGCTCCGTCTCTCCCCACACCCACCCACAGCCTGAGCCAGTGTTTTTAGATTCTCTTCAATTCAGCCGAAGAGGCTAAATTCTTCAGCTTGGGGCTCCAAATTAAAGTGAATGGAACCCACCCAGTATTTTCAATCTATTGGTGAAACATCCGTTACATTTGAAAATATCGAGAAAATACGAAACATTGTCAGAGTATGGCAATATTTTAGGAAAAAACAGAAAACTCTCATAAAAAACCTTGATTTTTAATATTTTAAAGGAGAAATCTCAAGTCTATGGCCAATAGAAACCTCAAGTCTTTGGCAAATTGGCCCTATTCTGCAGTGCTTCTCTTCCATGGCAAAAATGAGGAGTTCTGGAAAGCAAATAACATACTCACAATGATCATAATGGCCGCACTAAATCTGCTTTCCTTTCTTTTATTAATAAAAGAATCGAGCTAGGTTTTTAAATGTACCTTGTACATTGGGGTCATCCAAAGGCTCTGGATACCAGTCCTCTGATTCATCTCACCTTGTTATCCATTATTTCTTAAAATTTTGTTGATGTCTCTTTGTTCCCTCATTTGCCATCCTACTTCTTTTTCGTTTGCCCCTTTTTATTAGCAGCATAAGGAGTGCTAATTTTTTATTGCATTTTGTGGAATGGCCAAAGTACCTTTCTAATTCCATTCCAGTACACAGCAAAAATAGTGACTGATACATCCATTTCTTTCAACTTTATTGGACTAAATTTACTTAACATGCGTACATGTTGATGTTCTTTGGTTTCAGATTCATTAGAATTAGTTATTCCCCTTTATTTTTCCTCCTCTTGATTACATTTTCCATTTCCATTCATATTTTTGGCATAACTGAAGAGGGAGGGACTACGTCCTTATGCTGTTTTATGAACAAAATGCCCCCTCTCTCTGCATCATTTTCTGCATTGATAAGAATAAAGTAAGAGTTTCTTTCTCAAAATTGTAAACAATGACATAGCCTGGTTTATATTCAATTGTTTCTGTACTATTAAGTTAATACTAATGTTTCCAGCTCAGATTTTGAGTAGAGGGAATCAAGGAGACAACATGTGCATGACTTTTTTATAAATTATCATGCTTGGGTTTTCATGGACATAGTATGGAAAACAAACATTAACAATTTGGTAAATATAATAGAAAAACAAGAATTAGCCTACCAATAAATAAAAAAAGAGTTAAAGGCCTGAACAATGCCAATCAAATTGAACACAGCTGTTTTGCCTCCTTTTTCTCTTCATATTCTCTTCTTTGCTAGGGTAAAAATGGGGAAAATAGCAGTTCCCTTTCCCTTATTTGGCAGGTTTAAAAACCTGGGGCATTCCGAGAATTGAACTCGGGACCTCTCGCACCCTAAGCGAGAATCATACCACTAGACCAAATGCCCGTTTTGATGCCCTTTTCCTTGCTTGTATTTGCTTTTTAGCTATTATTAAACCCAACACCCCCCAATCGCACACCCCCACTCTCCCCACACCCCAAGAAAAAAAAAGAAAGGTCCTCCCTGTTCTCTTGTTTGCTAGGTTAAAAAATGGGGCATTCCGAGAATTGAACTCGGGACCTCTCGCACCCAAAGCGAGAATCATACCACTAGACCAAATGCCCTTTTGATGTTCTTACCTTGTTTCTATTTGTTTGTATCCATCACTATAATAAAATATTCCCTTATTTTCTTGCTTTTGCAGGGATGTGAAGACTCTGATAGTAGAAATGCTTCAGGCGGCTAAAAGCAAAACTCAAGTAGTGTAACATCTGAGCAGTAAATGAGGTGGCCATTTTCCTCTGAGAGTATAATGGAATATCTATTCTTGTTTGCTGATCTTCATTTATTTCTCTCTGAAAATCAGCACACAGGTGTCATGAGTGTCATCCTTGAACACGTTGGGCTTCGTGGCTGGAGGACTACGATGATATCAGTTATATTGGGTATACTCAAATCTGTCTTTGATTTTCTCGTTTGCTTTTTTGATGGGTGAAAGTTTTGGGACGCTTTGTTTGCTGTCTGATCTGCATTCAGCATGATGGAACTGTAACGTGTAAATAATAGAACGTGCTCTGGTTTTTCCTTCCAGAAGGCAAAAAGTAATGGTTTAATATTTTGTTGGAATATCTCGCTACACCAGTTGATTTCCGATAAATAGTGGCATAATTTTGAGAGTATCTTTCATGGCAAACTTTTGGTGAATAGTGTGGATCAGGGTTTTGAAAGTTGCCCTGATAGTGCCGAATCGCCTGTTTGAACTGAACCAGAATAGGTTGGTGGGGGTGGTCCAAGTCTTGGGAAGCCCAAAATTGTCTGAATCCCCCATGTTTGTAATTTTTTAATAGTTTTATGTGTCTGTACAGGGATACAAATCAAGAATTACCTGTTTGAATTGGGTGAACCAGAACTTACTCCCTGGTGATCTTGGGTCTGATTCCGAGTTTTATAGCCCCGGTTTAGATGTTGCATAATGCATAAATAAACATTGTAAATGGGGATCACACATGAAAAAGCAAATCTAATCTTCCCAATCGCAACATAGTTTCGTCAATAATCAATTTTTACCAAGACTTACAATGGGGTAGATCATGGTTGAATTCTCAACTATAGGCCCAGCGGAACCAAGAGAATAATTTTCCATGGTGTCTGGAGGGTGACACAAAGATAACAAAGTTAGAATGTGAGAAACAGAGATGGAGTAGGGTTAGATGGTTGTAAGAGTGTCCTTGATTAGGCACAGTTTTAAACTTTTTTTTGGAATTTTGTAGCTAACTTTCAAGATATTTTTATTTGACATCTAATGAGTGGGAATAATTGTGATTTTTTTGTACAAAAAGTAAATGGTGTTTTTGTAGACAATTTATTTTCTTTTCAATGTATTTAAAAAATATTCATTGTCATCTCCATTGATTACTTGTGAATGATACATGTATTAATAAACAACTCTTTTTATTCTCCTGAGGATGTAATTTTTTTTTTTTGACAAGGTTCATAATTTAGTTGAAAATTCAAATTACAACATGGTCACAAAGGCAAAAGAAAGATAAATCATCGAAAAACCTGCAAGGTCTCATTGCATGCTCATCCGCAATAGTATTAGTTTCTCCATAAACATGATTTAAAGGATGTCCAAAGGGTTGCTAATGTCCAAGATTTCTAACCACATCGATCTTAGAATATAGGGACCTTGTTACACCACTAAATCACATTCATCAAGTCTCTTTCCACCTCTGCACATTTGGAAGTTGTCTTTCTTTAAATATTTTCAATCCCGGCAAAGGAGACGAGATCTTTGCATGATTGGCTGACACAACTTGCTAGCCCAAATAACAAAAAGCTCCTATCAAAATTCAGCTTTAAGGAGGACCTCCAATTAATCTTCGGTCACACCTTAAAGGTCCCTTGGTTCACCAAGTTTGCTGAGTTAAGCACTATCTCTACTTTTGAATCACCTCATCCTTCTTTTGAAATGGCAAACCAGATCCGAAGGTCATAAAGAACTCTCCATTCGAAGGCATTGTCATCAGAACTCACTCATCAAAAGTTCGTCTATTACTTTCCCTCCAAATCTCACTCAAAATAGCAGCCTTGGATACTTTCCATATCGCTTTCCCTATACTTGGTAGAGCAGAAAAATTGAAATGCTCAACTATCAAACATCGGCGATATTCCCATTAAATCGAGGAGGTAACTATCAACATGGAAATTGTGTGAATGTATTTTTGCTGTGCTTAAGATATATCCTGTAACTTTCACATTTTTGTGTCCATTTCTCATTTCTTTTTATTTTTTTCAGTTTTTTCAAAATGTCCATGGTTGATATCCCAAGTGTCGGGGTCGGTTCGGTGCATGGAGTGTCGTCCCATGCTCTGGATTTCCCATGGGGCTCAATAGAGCTGGTTCCCGCTACAAGTGCCAACTCGGCCTAAGCTCATGTTCTGACCCCAGTAAGTGAGTTTTCTTTGCACATTAGGGACCTGATTTGCTCATTTTCTTCCCTGCTTTAGCCTTGCTCACGCTTTCTGTCACCTACCTTGTGGCAAATCCAGAGTGCGGATTGGTACTCAATGTGGACCAGACCTAATATTCAGGTGGGCTCGGTGCTTAGATGCCGACCTAGGGCATTTTGGGGAAAATAAAAAGAAAAGAAAAAAAGAAACACTGATGTGGAATATAAAAATGGTGGGAAATATTTCAAATTTCACAAAAAAGGGATAGTATAAAGATTTTGCTATTAACAATTTGGCACAGACCTAGTAGCTTGGGCTAGGGTTTAGTAGAGAAGAAGAAAGGGTAAAATACAAACTTAGAGAGATTAAAAAACCACAAGTAAAAGAAATGGCACTTTCTGCTCTATACAAGTCTACAACATGATCATTCATTATGCTTGATACATCCCTTATATAAAAAAATACTAAAATAAGACTTAATCTTGACCATCCATCTAATCTAAGTATGATCATTTATTATAAAGATTTTAAGTGATTAAAAAGGAATAAAATATTATAAAAATTACTACTTATGCCCCCTAAGTAAATAAAAAGACTCAAAAAATAAAAAAGATATAAAATGATAGACTCAATGACTAATTTGTCCTTCTACGATTTCTATTGTAAACTTTAAGCTTGTTTCTCTTATTTAGATAAGAGAGAGTAGCATCTGGGTTACTTCAGTCCCCCTTCCTCAAAAGAATTCACCCTCGAATTTGGTAGCTTGTCATCAAACGTATGACCTCGATAGACAATGAGATGCTTGATATTAAAAAATATCTGAAGTGCGAATATGGTTAGGAAGCGTCAATTTGTAAGCATTGTCATTAATCTTCAGCACCACTTCACACGGTCCAATCTTGCATTAGTTTAACTTATGATGTTTAGAACAACTTGGTCTAGAACTAGAAGAAGCATAGGAGGGAAGAGTCTTGACTCAATTCAAAATATCTTCGTAGGAAATCTCACCTCTATGACTTGCAAGAGGTTGAGCATTGAATCCGCCAAAAGGAGATTGCCAAGTTTGCAATGAATTGATGAGAGTGCAATGCCAGTGCCAGGATTATAGCTAAACCCACGTTTCACAGCTTTAGCATGGACCTGCTTAATTGCTTCCATAATTTCCAATTGTCAACTACAACATTTTTTATTTAACAATACCAACGGTATATTGAGAAGGCCAAGACCAAAAAATTTCATCTCTTGGAAACATTGTAACTCAACCTTAATAATATACAATTCAAAATAATTAGAGATCAATATTTTCTAGATTATGGTGCCTCTCATATACATCTTATCCATCATGTTTTGTGCAAATTGAAACTAACACGGCTGCGATGCAAGTGCATAACACTATCGATCATAAACATACATGGGGAAAACTCTTCTTTTAGAATGCAAGAAAAACTTCGAAATCTTGAGGGTTGCTATTGCTGAATCTTGTGAGGTCGAGATACAAATATTAGATTTCTTAGTGTTTGGTTTTGGGGGAAAATGAAAAAGAATATATTTGGTTCTTCCATCAAAGCATAACAACTTAGCCTGAGTTCTCTCATAGAGAATGATTTCAAAAACTCTTTGGAGAGAATCTGTTGTATTAAATTCAAGAGCAGAGAGTTCAATAGAAAATACCTTTTAACTCTTTGGTGTGAATCTTACGTGATGTTCTGAATTTAGGTAAAACTCGAAGAACAACATTATCATCATTACCTCTGTCAACACTATCCTTTTCTTCGCTAATTCTTTCAAGGATAAAGAAATTTTTTATGTCCATCATCTCGAGAACAAGTTTGTCACTCTTACCCAATTCTCCATCAAGGAGAGGAGCATCCACAAGATCCTATCTAATAGTAGGAATCTTTTTCTTGATCCTCTTTATGGATTGAATCACAATTAAAGCTATGATCACACTTTTTTCTCAACACCCAAATCTTCATCCAGGTACTTGTCAATGACTAGTTCAATGGTGGCTAATGGTGAGTCCCAGTCTACAATATGCTTATCTTGAGAATAACAATATTTTTCTATGCTTTTCCTCGGATGGACTTCCACAACACTCCGGAATCTCAACCTTGAGATTGATTTCCCACCCCATGATATCCCTATCTATATGAACAGCTACCTCTCTCCTCGGAGCTTGATCATGGAAAGGATTTATAGATTTCTCATCTACTTTGATCTCATACTCCTGAGATGAGGCTTCCATCTACGCCAATATTGAGCTAAGATTTCAATCAATCTCTTCCAATATGTAATCCCTTCTTTTGAATTAGCATCAAATTCTTCTAAGATTGCCTTTTTTCCTTCTTTTCTTCTACGTGGAGGCATGGTTCTTGATCTAGGGCAGAAAAACCATCAAAATAGAAACAACCAACAAAACCCAAATGATGTTTCTACCTTTATTCAATCAAATCCACAATACCCAACAACTTGTGAAACCACTCTCGTAAAAACCAAGTTTCCCACGCCAAATTCCAAAACCAGTCACTATTGACAGTGTACTCGTTGTGGGTTTAAGTTTTTTGAGAGGGAAAGTAAAAGGTTTCAGGTTTTTAGAGAGAGAGAGAGAGATAGAGGTTTCAGGTTTAAAATAAATGGGAGTGATATAGATAAATAGTAGGGGCAGGTGGAGAGAGAGAAGGGGGTGTATGGGATTGTTAGAGCTAGTAATGGGCCTAGGCTGGGCTGGGTCAACCTTGGCCCTAGCTTGGCTCTGACATGGCAAGCTCAGAATAGACCAAAGGGGCCCTAGCCCAAGCATGAACCTAGCCCTATTCAGGCCTGGTCGGGACATATATAATAAAATATATAAAATAGAAAAAAAAAAAAAGAGGGCCAAACTGGTTGGCCCTGGCCGTGGCCCGATCCAACCTAGATTGAACCAAAGAGGCCCCCAGCCCAAGCCTGAACCTAGCCCTATTAGGTATGGGCTGGGTTAGATAGTATGAAAAACCTAAAAGAGAAAAAAATAAAGAAAAAAAGGGCGAACAAACCCGGCCTTGCTGTGGCCCTAGCCCAGGCCCAACCTTCAAGCCACATTTTGTGGCCCAAGCCCCAGTGTTTAGGGCCAGGCCGCAGCCATATGGTCCATTGCAACTCGAGGTAGGGTGGGTATACGGTCCATTGCTACCCCCAGGTAGGGTGGGTACAGGCTACTCAGTGTATGGCTCGACCGACCTGAAATAAAT